AAAGTGGCCCAGAGAAGTCTGGCAGCTGTCCTGGTAATGCCAGGCAGCACAGCAATACCTGAGCTGAGGCCATTTCCAGGTGTGCTGCTGCACTGGAGGGCAGTGCTGACACAGTGCCAGTGTCCTGTCCAAGCACACACACAGAGCCAGTGTCCTGTCCAGGCAGCACACACACAGTGCCAGTGTCCTGTCCAGGCAGCACACACACAGTGCCAGTGTCCTGTCCAGGCAGCACACACACAGTGCCAGTGTCCTGTCCAAGCAGCACACACACAGTGCCAGTGTCCTGCCCAAGCAGCACATACACAGTGCCAGTGTCCTGCCCAAGCAGCACACACACACAGACAGCACTCTGAACACAGGTACCTGACACACAGTGCCAGTGTCCTGCCCAAGCAGCACATACACACAGACAGCACTCTGAACACAGGCACCTGGGCAAGCAGGGAGCTCTGGAGCCCCTTTCTTTCCCTGCTACACTGTCCAATGGCCACAAACTGCCATCCTCAGCCTGCCCAGTTCACGCTGAAATAACTACTGCAATCACCTGTGAAACAGGTCATTGCATGGCCCTGTTTGCCTCAAAGCTCTGATAATGCAAAGGAGTCCCTGAAAAATGAGAGCTGTGAGGAGAACTATCAAAATTTTCCAGCTAAGTTGGTCAGACTCGTTTCCTTTGTCAAAAAGCTGCAGGGAAAAAAAATTCAGCAGCTGAGACAACTTGAAGGAGAAGAAAGGTACCAAGTGAAGTGCAGCTGAGGGCAAGTTAAGCTCCTGTTTGCTCTTTCCTTGCCACCTCACGTTCTTTAACAACTCTGGGCTAATCCAGATATAACAACAGAGCACCAGTAGGACAATGAATTGCAAAGACACCTGTATTTGTTTAAATGTTCTTTGCTCCCTAAGCCCTACATTAATTTTTCAAGTACACTTCTATTGTATTCAAATCTATTAATATGCTGTTTAATTATCATGTTGAAATTCCACGTTCTTTACTTGGTACCCAAATTTTGGATAGGAAAATGTCATTAATCTGACAACTTCCCGTGTTTGTGACTTGCACTGTGCAGCAGCAATGCCCTGTCACTGCCTCCTGCCTGAATACCTTACATAATACAAAGACCACTGAGCAAAGAATTACTCATTGTTTTAAAAATACATTCAGTATATTTTAAAAAAGTGTTTTTGTTCAGAAAAGAAACCTTATCTAAACATGCAGAGGTCAGCAATGTCACTTCACATTTCTTAAAAAAAAAAAAAGACTGAATAAATCTGTATAAACAGTTCTATGAATCATTGCGTAACACCCTGACATTTTTCCCCTCTTTTCCAGAGGGAAGTTGCTTTATTACTGCTCACAGTAACAGCAGCATGATTGCAAAATTGGAGGTAGTTTATTTCTGTGACTTTGCTTATCAGGTACTGCAGGTCCATCCCTGTGCACTCGCTGCACCCTCTGTGCTCTGAGTCAGGCTGGAAATATGTAGGATTCAATGGTCACTGCAACTGCATCCAACTCACACCACATTCAGTGAGGTATTTACACGTGAAAAACACAATGCCACTTGTGTGAAGTGCCATTCCCCAAAGGAAGACAGTCAGCTGAACAACACTGGGAAATCAGAGGCTGGAATTTGACGCTATGTTTTACATATCTGTTAATCATCTTGAAGAAGCACAGACAGCATATTAGATTAGTGCCCTGAGCCTAAAGAAAAGATAGAATGAAATTTGCCTACAAAGGATTAAAAGGTTCCTGATGGCCATCAGCATTCTTACTTAAAATACAGAAGTCCAGTGAATAAAAAGGGGATAACAATGGTTTAGAATATATAATTGGAGTACATACACCCTCCTTTATGGCACACTAGGCCTTCCAGCAGAAATACAACCCTCCCAGTTTGCCTGTCCTTATTCACTCTTGCAGTACTCTGCCACTCAGAACAGAAGAGATTAAGAAATGTGTAATTATCAAGGTAACAAGGGCACTTGAAGACATAACATAAGAAGATAAACTTGAAAAGAGAGGTGAGGAAATGGTGTGACTGCTATCTCCAATAAAGGAGGGATGTCTAGAGTGAGAAGAAAGTCAGTGATTTATCTGTAAACAACAACACCATTGTTTACAGAGAGAACAATCAGCCTTGAGGAAGGCAAAAGATGGTGAGCTAAGACTAAAGGAACAAACTGCTGGATGCAGCTTGAGAAGTTTCGAGAGTGGAATGATGCTACTCAAGCCATTTTAACCTGAACTCACTGCAAAGAAAATTAAGCAAGTCCAATATGATTTAACAAGTCTGTGGTAATGTATCTGCTGGGAATTGAGTCTGAATCTTCCTGAGTTCTATGCTCTTTAAATTTCTCCATGATTTCATTACTCAGGTTTCAGTATCCAGAAGCAAATCAAGATAGAAACCCAATTCTTTCCCTTCCTTTCCCTTACCCCAAACAGGTCCAACAATCTTTGAAAATGAGGGAGTACGTGAAGTTACAATCTTCTGTGATGACTCAGACTAGATATAATTTTTTTACAATGAGAGTGATGAAACACTGGCACAGGTTGCCCAGAGAGGTGGTGGATGCTCCATCCCTGGAAAACATTCAAGGTCAGGTTGGACAGTGCTCTGAGCAACCTGATCTACTTGAAGATGTCCCTGCTCATTGCAGGGGGGTGGAGTGGGTGACTTTTAAAGGTCCCTTCAAATGTAAACTAGTCTATGATTTTTAAAAAACCAAAACAGAACAAACCCAAAACTCCCATATTCGGCATTTGATCTGAATGTGATATGAAATCTAAAGAAGGATTTGGCCACAGTTTCACACTGAATAGCCACGGGGAAGCTCTGCAGCCACCCTGATGGAAATCCACGACATTTCCCTCCTGAGCCACCAAATCTTGCAAAACTAGTCCTTCGCTACTGGATCCTAATTACAGATGGAGTGTTCATTTGGTCCCATTTCTAAAATACTCTAGCTTTTTTGAACAACTGCATCTGAACTAAATTGAGCAGTTCAGGCCCCTTTCTAATTCTTATACATGAAAATAATTATATAATATTTGGCTTCCCTTAATAGATAAAATATTCAGGTCCATTAAACATGAATCTGATTTCTTGCAGCTGGTCAGACACAAGAGCAGCTGTTGGCTCCACTCCTCTCCTCAAAGCAGCAGGACAAGGGTCTCTGATCTCTCCTGTTTGATTCCCTGTCACTGCTGAAAGGGCTGCAAACCTGATTATCAGATCAGAGGGTATCTGGGTACCAGGGCAGAACTGCCACACCTTGTTAACCATGCTGGCCTAGGATATTAAGTAAAAGGCTCAGTACAAAGAAAATCTAAGTAAAGATGTTCCCAGAGCACTTTGTGTCAATCCTGTAGGCAAATTCCCGCAACAGTTATTGGAATTAATTCCTCTGCTCACTTCATTGGATCCCTGCCCTGGTTAGTGCTTTCAAATTCTACTTCATGGTCAGCCATTTGCCACTAGACTTGACTATTCTGTTACATGGCAGAAAGATCTATTGTATAAATAAGAATATCAAAAATACACAAGTGAAAGCGTGTATAAAAATATACCCCAGCAAGTGGTGGCACTCTGGCACCCATGGATCCAACACAACTTGACAAATTAAATAAAAACTCACAGCTTTTTTTTTTCATTGCCGAAAAATCACCAATAAAAAGAAAGAAAAAGATGAACTTCAGAGGTAAAAGATGATCTGTGTTAACACAGCATCAAAATTAATCTCATTATCCATTTAACTCTACTCATTAAAACATGTTTCTTTCAATTTAAAATGGGTGAGATCTGAGCCATGGCAATATAACTCTCCATCTTAAAAGGCTATAACCTATAACCTACAAAATTGATTTGTTCTATCACCATGTGATGGGTTTTTGTTATTCCAGCAAATACAGAACAAAATGTTCTGTCTGCAGGCACACTATGTGTGTAGAAGTGTATAAGGTCTGAAAAAACATGAGAAATTCCACTACTAGAGCTGTATGAAACTTATGTTTCCAATTCACAAATAATCCCTTGTTTTTTTCTAATTTAGTTTTGTTTTTTAATCCTTTGATTTTTTTCCCCTTGGAGTATCATGCTGAATTACAAATTCAAAAAGCTTCCCTTCACAAAAAAACCCCAACAAAACAAACAAACAAACAAAAACCGAAGAAACAAACAAAAAAACCAATAACCAACAAAACCCCCCTCAAAGATAATTTAGCTTTATTTAACTTGCCAATTTTGCATGTATGTGAAAGTTTATGTATTTTACACTGAGCACATTTTTGCATTCAGCCCAGATTTACCACTGTGTGAAACTCATCCAAAATGGTCAGAGTGACAAATTACAAATGCTTTACGATAACTGCCCCATTTTCATTAAGCATAATGGATTCTTTTCCCAAAGTGTGTATCTTGGCAAACGTCTTCTCTGCCTTAATTCTCCCTCCCTGGGGGACCATTTTTAGATTCAAAATTAAGTACACAGCATGTTGATGTTTTATTTCTGCGCAGTTCCTCATTTAGTCAATAGTATCCTGGACCATTATATCTTGAAAATATGCAAACTTGTCAAGCTTTAAACACTTCTATAGCAAATATTTCTTATGCAGCTCATCTGAAAGATTTATGAAAGCAGGTTAAATTTAGGCTTTAGTTCCAATGTTCCATACAGCTCTTACTAGAATATCAGCTACAGCCATCATTTTGGATTTTTTCCTTTGGAAACAGATATATTTAACTCTCCATTCTGACTAAGAAAACATCTCTCAGTAAAGCTTTAAAAACAAGTCTCTCAGCCTTCCATGCTAGAGGGCAGCGTTCACTGCTGAGGTGGTTAAATACGCTGCTCTGCAGACTGAGACAAGATCATCACAATTCCACTCATTTTCTACAGAAATTACACTGAAAGCCCTGTCTGGCAGCAGTGAGGGTGTGCCCTCCTGAGGAAATGCTCCCAGTACCCCCCAGTGCCCCCCAGTGCCAGGTTACCTTGTTGACGTCCATCCGCAGCTTCTCGTTGTTGGCACTGGCAGCTTTTTCTGCCGCTTTCTTCTGCCGCTGGGGGCCCCTGCCAAAGAAGATGTAGTTGACCAAGGCATACTCCAGCAGAGCCATGAAAACGAAGACAAAACAGCCCATAAGGTACATATCGATGGCTTTCACATATGGAATTTTGGGAAGAGTCTCTCGGAGATGGGTGTTAATTGTTGTCATTGTGAGCACAGTTGTGATTCCTGGAAAAAAGAATTGACAAGTCCAGTGATTGAAATAATTTTAACTTTCTAGTATACTAGTTCATAATATTCAGAGTTGAAAAAAATTTTTTTTTTCCCCCTGGTGGAGAAAATACATCTCCAACCTCTCTCCTTATTCACAGAATCGTAGAAAGGTTTGGGTTAAAAGGAACCTTAAAAATCATCTCGTTCCAAATCCCCTGCCATGGGTGGGGAGTCTTCAGGTGGTTCATAACTCCATCCACCCTGGCTTTGAACAGTTCCATGGATGGGGCAGCCAGAACGCCAGGCAATGTGTTCCAGTGTCTCACCACCCTCCCAGGGAAGAAGAATTTCTTCCTAAGATCTGACCTAACCCTGCCCTCTGTCCGTTTAAAGCCATTCTCCCTTGTCCTGTCACTCCATGCCCTTGTCAAAAGTCCCTCTCCAGCTCTCTTGTCCCCCTTGGGCACTGGCAGGTGCTCTGAGGTCTCCCTGGAACCTTCTCTGCTCCAGGCTGAACGATTCCAACACGGCTGCACTAAGGGCAAATTATGCCTGACAAATTTGGTGGCCTTCTGCAACAGGGTTCCAGCAACCCTCTGCAATGAGTCTCAGTTTTAAATCAGCAGGCTACAGTTACTGTTGTCTTGCTTTACTCAGGCATTTTCAGGATATCTGCAGTCTCAAACTCTTAAGGGAAAATGCCACCCAGAAAGGTCTGGTAAATCTCAGACAGTATTCTCTAAGGTTAAAGTGTCAGATTCTCAATAGCATGTTTTAAGTGGGTTTACTTATTTTAGCAATACAAGATCTGTACTGGCAGGAATCAGCCTGATTTATACTGATTTATCTGTATCTATTTGGCAATAGATATAGATATTTATTTTTGCAACATGTTTGAATCCTCTGATGAGGGGCTCAGTATAAACATGGGGGTAGTGATGAGATACAAGAGTACTCCAGAGATTAATTAGGGGGACAGTTTTGCCTTTGGAATGTAAGGTAACAGTAAGGAAAAAAAAATCACAGAATCATAGAATCATTTAGGTTGGAAAAGACCTTTAAGATCAGAGTCCAACCTTTAGCCCAGCTCTGTTCCCTTCTCTGGACCCGCTCCAGCCCCTCGATGTCCTTTCTGAAGTCAGTCTTGAGGGGCCCAGAACTGGACACAGTATCTGAGGTGCAGCTTCATCCCTCAAGGACAAGTGAGCTACAGAACCCTAGTAAAACCTTATTTAATTTGTACCTGAAAGGAAAATTCATAATTTATAATCCCTAACACAGTGCTGAATGTTGTGTTCTGGCCTGCCATGGGCAAAAGCAAACGAGGTGCACTGTCTTTGGAGGCAAAACAAGCAATAAAAGAACAACAGACAATGTTGAGACACTTAGGCTAATTCTGGTTACAGTGATTATACAGTTAGCTCAGTCAGACATGAAATGTCTTTAATTTTTATTTAAATTGGGATGATTTAAATGCTGATTCAAACAATCAAAAGTTTAAGGAGCAAGACATAAAATATCTAACAGATTTTTTTTTTCAGATCATGCACTATCTGCTAAGCCAGAAGCCAGAAAAACACTCAGCTAATGCACACTGCATGAGATGTGTAAAAATGCCTACCTAAAGCAACTCTTGCAGCTGAAGCATCATAATTAATCCAGAAGGAAACCCAGGACAGGATAGTGATCAGAATAGAAGGCATGTAGGTCTGCAGAATGAAGTAGCCAATGTTTCTCTTAAGTTTAAAGCTGAGAGACAGCCTTGGGTAGGCACCTAAAAGAGAATATTTGGCATGGCTGTAATTTACTTGTATAAAGCCTAAAACCATTTTTCTGTCATTTTGGTTTTATTGTTTCATGCAACACAGAGTACACTGAGAGCTGAAAGATCCAGGGTTATCAGCTGCAGAATTTCTAGCAAGAATTGGGATTAAAGAATCTTTTATTCTAAGGGTACAAGGATGCTCTAGGTGCAAATCTGCTGGTATCATAACGTTCAACAATCAATAGCCAAAATACCTCAGAGCAAGAGAGCACAGAAATGCCTCTTCCCTGGCAGACTGTGGTGTGCCCACTTCAGTTTAACCCTCATTCTCTTCTCTCCAAGAAATTCAACACCTGCCTTGTCTCTGGATACCACAAGTAATTTCCTGTACGAAACACTTGTTGAAATGGGTGCCTAGAAATCATTATTAAAGTCTCATTTCTGCTTGGTTTTGAAGAATTTGGGATGGACCATCTTCCTACAGTCCCTTCAAAGATGATTTCTACCCATATCTGAACTTTGAGGATAATTTGTTAAGCACACCCACAGGTTTCCCAGGTAGGTAAGAGCCCGACCCAACCCCTGCCTCTCTTGAACAATTTAAGGTCCAATCTGATTTTCTCCTTCTCCTAAGACAGCATCTTTTCAGCTCTCAAAAACTCATACACTTGCTAGAAAAGGCTAAACTGAAAATCCCGTGGAACAAGGATTTTGAAGGTTTTACACAGAAGACAAAATAATTAGCCTAATACATCCACAGCTTGGTAAAAGGAACATCTAGAAACAGGGAGGAAAAGGTTCCTAAATTTCCTCCAGACTGGGTTGTTACTGGCTGGGTTTCTGGCCATACCAATACACTGAGGTGTGTAAGTGGCTTAATCCAATTTCACAGGAAAACAGAGCATACAGCTCATTTGATGGGCCTGAACGTGACAGATGGCTGTCCCCTCTGCAGAGGTGAATGAATGATGCCCTGTGCACCACCAGAGCCGTAAAAAACCTTCCCCCTTCAAAATTCACACCTGAGGCTCTAATTCACTCCTGTTTCTAAAATTTTTGCTCAGATCCTGAACTGCATATTGTGAATTAACCCATTTCTAAAAGTCTTCCCAGTGAATTCCCCTTTTAGCCTCCCCTCCACAAACCTGTAGAGAAAACAACATTCTTGGTGATAAGCTTGTAGTCTACGATGGAGAACTGTGGTAGCTCAATCTTGGTCACTCCTGTGACAGCATTATCACCCCCACGCCAGTAAAACTCGATGTCATCTGTGGTGTAGCCATCTAGAAAAACAGGAGCAAACAATTAACACCCACATCTCTTCTGACACCACAGAGAACAGTCCAGACAATTCACTTGAGCATAACTTCAAATGTATTTCAAAAATTAAACCACTCGTAACACAATATGTAAAAAAAACATACAGACATAATTCTAATATCAAAAGGCAATCTTAGTGCATTTTAATATTTGTTGGGTTTGTATTTTTTTAAAGACATATTACATGAATATAGCAATAAAACAAACCTTTAAAACCAAATGAAAACTACACACATCCCATCTCTAGATATCAACTGTATGTTCAGTTTAAAGTAACTTCTGATCCCAAGGCTGGATAGAACAGCAGGAGTTTGCTGCAATTTCTGTCCCTGGGCACTGGTAACAGAATCATTTCCTCCTGGTGACCTGGATGCTTTTCTGCCTTGTGGTCCATGGTCAGTAGAGGAGAGAGGACAGTGACGGTAACGTAAGTGATAATTCAACATACAGTTGGCTCTGTGTGCTCTGTGGTTTGTAACTGGACTGTGAAGGAAGAGGACAAACTCTGGTTCAAACCCATTTAGTTTTCACTTGTAAAAACAGCATAATCCTTTTCCTAAAATGGCTTGAATGGAATAAAAGACAGCCACATTCAGTGAGGCTTGGAAGAGGCCTTGGAAGAGGCAACTAGAGCAGATGCAGCAATACCCATCATTGGCAAAAAAACACCCACAGGAAACCACCAACCAAAAAAAACCCCACCCAAAAAAACACCCCAGAACACATGTTCACACAGTCACAAAACATATGCATCAAATACAAATCTGGGTTTGCCAGACCAGCTGGCAGCTGAGCCAACTTGCACACTCCAGAGCTGGTGGACAGACATCAGAAATCTATTGCAAAACCAGGAAATAAGATATTCATTAATGTTCATAGCCTTCTAAAGACTGCTGTCATTGAAAACTGTAAATAAAAATAATTCAAACATCAAAAAATGACTGTGACTTTTTTGGAAACTGAAACAATAAAATTACATATACATATATATAAACCCATGATTTTAAGTTCTCACCCACAAAGGACAAAATTATACACTAAACACCATTTTAGAGTGCTCAAATAACACTTAGTTTCAAGGAATAATGCATTATGCATAGAATCTATAAATCTCTTTCTGCACATCATTCTATTTCCCTCCAATACAAAAAAACCCTCTATTTTCCTCCACACAATAAAAGAGCACCATGCTTTAAAAGTTTGTTTCCTTAAAAATGACCTAAAATATGTGTGGCTATAATAAACTCCTTCTGCAGGTATTTGAGACTGAAACCAACTCTACTTACAAGTTAAAATTATTTAAAGACCAACCGATTTAAAAGAGTAAGAAACAATCTAGAAAAAATAATCTGTGGCTCTCTGACAAGAAAAAAGAAGAATTAGTGAAAGTCAGCTCAATATTTCTGAATTATCAGATCACATGCTGGTAAAGTACAAAGCAAAGCATACTAAACCCAAACATTCTCCAAGTCATTTTTGCAAGAATCTGAGTTAAGCACAGGACACTCTGATTTAAACTGTGAAACAACTGTTGGTTTACTAGCTATTAAATTGAAGGTAGCACTGGTACCAGCAGAGAGAATCTGATTGATTGCTTTTCCCTCAATCACTTCTATATCATCAGAAGCACCATTTACTCCACGTTCAGAAAGTTCCATTTCTCTTGCTGTCATGCATCACACACCAGCAGTCAAGCAAATCAATACAATGTCCTGGTAAATATGGCACCAAAAATACCAGGAAAGCAAAGCATTCTCCATTCCCATCAACAGGGCTGGGGAGTTGCTCATCATCTCTACCTCAAGGAATGACAGATGATGAAACACTGCAGAGCAAAATCCAACAACTAGCAGAATGGAAAATAAAACCCCTTTCACACAGAAACTACAGAAATATCTATTTTTTCCCAGTCTATTTAAGAGAAGTAAAAAATGAGAAATTCTTTAAATACAAACAAGGTAAAATGAAAGCTGGGCCATTACTGGTTGAGCATAAAAATATTTAGACACAAAGCAGCTATCAAAACATCCCACAATGGAAGGAAAGAAGCAGACTTTTCTGAAAAACTCAGGATTTATCAGGAGGATTCACTGTCTCACAAGGCTTTGGTTCGTACAGCTGGGCAGTATTTTACATCTACACATCTCCATGTGCACTCTGGGTAGGAATCCAAGTGCTCCCCAGCACTAACACCACGGCAGCACCTGGAGACAACGCAAGACATGAGACACTGAAACCATTGGGGTGATACAAAGGTGATCAGGAAAGACAGGATTTATGTGCCACATCTGGCATCAGAGCAACTGCAAAAAACACATCATACTTGTTTCTCTCTCCTCTTTCTCATCCCCTCTAAATTCTGTCTTTCCACATAAAACATTAACATTCTTTTTACATTTCACTTCAAAGGCTTTTTCCCCTGAGGTTCGGAGGATTTGGAGACAAAAGAGGATGTACAACTTTCTGACTGCAGTGAAACTCAATCGATTTTTAGGTTATGTTGGTAACATTCTCCAAAAAATTATCTTCAAGTTGTGCAAATGATTCCTTATTGGAGAGAGTGGGGTGGGGAGAAGAAAGAGATGGAAATGTGACTCTGTAACTACTGCATGCAGCCCTTAAAAACAAAAAAGAAAAGGTATTTTGATAGACAAGTGAAATGACAAAACTGGTTCCAGGACTCAGAGTAGATTTTCATGGTGTTAGCAGAACCAAGGTTAACTCTCATGTAGGCACTGCAAGCTGATTCTCACTCACAGTAAGCCTGCTAACTCACAGGATAGGTGTCCTAGTGCAACCCATCAAATATCTTCTTTTTTTCCTACTGATTTCAATGAAATCATTCACACTTCGGGGAACCTCCTGCAAAACGCTTCCATAAATAAAATGCTTCTGTTACAATTGTTCTGGGAAAAGAAAGAGAGATCAGAAACAGAGAGGGAGAACTGCATCCATGCAATGATATTCAAAAACTTCTCAGCTCCTTTAACTCGGGGATTTCTTGCAATCTTTCTGCTTCCACAAGCTCAGTTCCTCCCACCAGTACAAATGATCTCAAAAGTTACTGGATTCAGCACTGTGAAGATCCTGCAAGCCCAAGAGCTCCTCACACAGCAGAGCCTTGAGCCTGTGGTGGAAGGCACGGAACGAGGCCCAGCTGGCACAAAGCTGGTGCCACGGCATCAGAACCCAGTTCCTCGTGAGACTCCACCAAACCCTGGGCACGGCACTGCCCAGCGCTGGCTCTGCAGGGCTCTGCAGCAGCACTGGCTGGCTAGGTTGGAGTGCAGATCTGTTCCTTCCCACAGCCATCCAGGAGTGCTCTTCACCCTTTCCTTCTGATCTCCATCACTTTTTGTCCTTGGTGTCTCTTGCAGACCAAGTGCTGTGTTTACAGATTAAGTACATCACAGGACACAAGAAAGTGAACCACATCTGGCTCAGTTTTATTTATTCAAATGGTCAAAGTCCAGGGATTTCCCTCACTATTGAAACAATAAATCTGGTTCCTGTAGCCACAAACAACATTAGGTAACTGTGCAAATTTTATACAGTACCTAAAACATCCCATCCCCTATTTCTGCCACAGTTTATATTACCTGACCTGCTCCATTAGCACAGGACATCTTCTGAGGATGAGGCTGACAACATTATGTCAGTCTTGCACACTGAGTCTGGATCATCTCTGAAGGTTATTTCAGTGTAGCATGGGTGTCATTAAGCAAATATGTAAGAAAACATGGGTGGCAACTGTGGCCAATATAGAGTTAAACAGACTTATTTCTCACTTCCACTACTACTAAAATTATGAAGGAAAAAACCCTTAATCTGCAAATTTCAAAAGTCAGATTAGTATACATCACAGTTCTGCAGTAAAGTTTATTATTTCCCTATTAAACTTACCACACAAAAAAAAGGAGTTCCTGAACACACAAGTAACTATGTGTCAAACATGGCAAATTTTTCCTATCCAGAAAAGACAGGGATCCTTAGTTTCCTTTGCAATTAAATTAGACTACTGCAGAATACTGGGAAACTGAGTATTAAGAAGCCCCAGAAGAACTGTTTTCTTAAAGCTCAGTTTTCTTAGCAGCTGTAAGAAGAACCAAGACATTTATTTTCACTCCTCCTAAGAGCAGATGTTCAGAGACACACTGAGGAACTGCGATGTAGAACCGTGGGGTGACACCAGTCCTTGCTGAGGAAAGCAACATTCAGGCAGAAATACCAAATTTCTACTGAAATGGGAACTGCTGCTGATGTAAATATGATAAAAATGAATACATCAATGCTTGAGAGATCTATTTCAATGCCATTAAATCACAAAATGAACAGAACTCAAGTGAAAACAACCATTTTGAAAAGACAAGTGCTATCAGGTGTAAGCAGGCAATGGGTTTTTTTTCCCCACAGAAATCAACAAAGTGAAAACATACATTATTTACTACGTCTCAAGACTTAAAATTTTACTACATCATTCATAGCTGTTTTCTTCCATATTTAAGTCAATGAAAGCAAGTTGAAGATATATAAAAAGGATAAAAATCTTCAGTATCACCCTCTGGCATCAAAAATTGGCAATACAAAGGTTGTTTAACCCAATTTAGATTTAACCTTAATAAGAAACTAAGCACTTCTGCCAGGAAGCTGGACTGTGGTACCACGGGGAAGAACCAACCCCAAAGGCCCAGAGACTTCTCAAGGCCTGCTGGAACCTTCTGCCACACCAAACTCTCTAATTAGGAAAGGATGATAGAGAAGGGCACACAATATACAGGGCTAAATATGGTCCAATATTAATTGGACCATTTTATAAAATCTATAAATTTGCATGGCTGGTCTTATCAGTCCAAGAATTAAATGTGAAATCTCTTTTGTGTTTTTAAATGGGACATTTGTAAAAGTGATGATTCAAATAGAAAGTACTGTGTTCTTCTGGCATAATATTAAGGTCCAACTTGGG